TTAAATTTTGATGGCAGTGGTGATAACATTACTGTATGCATTTATCAAAACTCAGAACTACACTCTAAAATGTATGTACTTTTACTGTATTAAAATTACTATGTCATTTTTCTGTATGTTAAATTATACTTAAAAAAATAGACAGCAGTGATAAGTAAATGAAAAGGCAAGCCACAGACTGAGAGGAAATATTTACAAAACACCTATCTGATAAAGAACTCATATCCAGAATATATGAAGAATAATTTATAACTCATTAAGAAGGTAACTTGGTTTTTAAAAACTGGTAAAAAAAAATTTTAACAGATACTTCACCAAAGCAGATACACAGATGGCAAGTAAGCACATGAAAAGATGCTTCAATATATTCATTATTAGGGAAATATAAACCCAACAGTGCCACTTCTAGATACTAACCAAATAGAAACGAAAACATAGGTCCACACAAACACATGTACTTAAATAGTTTTAACAGCTTTATTCATAATATCTGTAGACCAGAAATAACCCAAATATCGATTAACCCGTGAATGGATAAATCAGATTACCTCCATATGGTGGAATACTACTCAAAAATAAAAAAGGAACTAACCACTGATATATATAAAAACTTGGATCAATCTCAAACGCATAGCTAAGTGAAACAACACATTTTTTTATGTTTTATGAAACAAGACATAAAAATCATACAAGACTATACACTATGTGATTAAATTTAAATGAAATCCTAGAAAATGAGAAAACTATATTGTCAGAAAGCAGATTAGGTGCAGAGGTAAGGGCAGGGGACAGATAACTAAGAGATATGAGAGCACATTCTGGGGTGGTAAAAAGTTTCTGTATCATGACTGTGGTGGTGGTTCTGCAACTCTATGCATGTTCAAAACTCATTGAATTATACATTTATATGGGTGAATTTTATTGTATGTAAGTTATATTTAATAAAGTTCATTCTATTTTTAAAAAGAATAATACTTCAAAAAAATTAACCTATAAATTAGTAGGAAGAATATAAATGAGCAAAGCATATGAACAGGCAATTCAGAGGATGGAAGCAAAATGGCTATTTAACATTTAAAGAGAGTTTCAACCTCAGCAGTGATCATGAAAATGCAAATTAAAACCACAAAGAGATGCCATTTCACATTCTTCCAAATGGCTAATATTTGAGCCTGATAATAAGAAATGGTGAGGATTTGGAGCAATGTCTATGTAAGTAAGTACAACCCCCATAAAGATCAATTTGACAAGATCAAATAACAAGCATTACCCAGAAATTCCACTTGTAATATCCACCCCAGAAAATTACACTATGTACATAAACACAATATCATTTGTAATAGCTAAAATGTGAGAACAACTTAAATATCCACCAATGGGAGAATGGATAAATAAATAGGACTAGTGTATATTCACACTTTGGGATTCCATACAGCAGCAAAACCAAATAAAGCAGAAGTACATATAAGAAGTGGGTAAATCCCAAACATGTATTAATTTAAAAAATTGCAAAATAGGCCGGGCACAGTGGCTCACGCCTGTAATCCTAGCTCTCTGGGAGGCCGAGGCGGGCAGATTGCTCGAGGTCAGGAGTTCGAAACCAGCCTGAGCAAGAACGAGACCCCGTCTCTACTATAAAAATAGAAAGAAATTAATTGGGCAACTAATATATATACAAAAAATTAGCCGGGCATGGTGGCGAATGCCTGTAGTCCCAGCTACTTGGGAGGCTGAGGCAGGAGGATTGCTTGAGCCAGGAGTTTGAGGTTGCTGTGAGCTAGGCTGACGCCACGGCACTCACTCTAGCCTGGGCAACAAAGTGAGACTCTGTCTCAAAAAAAAATAAAATAAAATAAAAAATAAAAAATAAAAAAAATTGCAAAATAATATGAAGATGATATCATTTATATTTAAAACACAAAAATACTAAGTATTGATTATAGATACAAACATGTAATACACATGAATAAACAAAAATAGAAGAATACCAACATGAAGACAGTAATTACCCTCGGGTAAGGTAATGCTGGGAAAAGAAGGAGCACCACATGCTGCTGGTGATATCTCTACCTCTCCTTCCTCCAAAACAATCACTCCCTCCATTCCATATTCTGTCTAAGGGACAATCAAAACTAATCATATACTGTTCATAGCTACTTACCTCTGTCACTACAAAAAGCCTAAAATATCCTTGTCATTACTCATAACCTAAATACTTATTGCCTTGCAGCTGGGTATAGCACCTTATCTAACTCTATTTTCCATCCTTCTACAAATTCCCAACAACTCCTTCATGTTCTCTGGCACTTTCATCAGCAAAATCCCCTGTATCCTCAAACTCTTCTCTGAATGTTCCTGTCTTTTTCTGTAACTGAAACGTCGCTCTCCCCTAAGGATTCTCCTGAAGCCCTTTCAAATGGTGGCTGTGATCTGCAGGCCTACAGACAGGGAAGCTATACAAGTTGATCCTCTCTGCCTTATTTGAAGTCGCTATACCACCTTCTTTCACTGCACCTCTTTCTCTAAAAATCTCTGGCTTATGCCCTAAGACTGTATCACCAGCATTCCTGGTTGCATATATGGACCCCAGGTCTCTTCCCTTATTTTTAAAAAATATTAGTACCTTGTTCATTCTCTCCAATATTATCTCAGTAGTAAGTATTGATGATTTTAATATCCACACAGATGATATCTCTAAAACTCTGACCTCATCATTCCTTAATCTCCTCTTCTGCAATGATCCTGTCCTCCCTTCTACAACAATTACCCACTTCTAATGTCACAGCCTATATCAATAGCAGTACCCCTTTCCAACTTTATTTCTAAGTATCTCACTCTCCAACCACCACTCCTGACTCTAACAATTCTTTCACTCCATCATGACCTACAATCCATTGATCTTATCAACATTTTGCTGTCCCTGTCAGCCCCTGTTCTTACTTCCCTCCTAACCAAAGGCTGATCCCATATTCAATATATCATTTGCCTTCTTTGCTTCCTCCCTGTTTACTAATTTGGCAAAACGTCAACCCTGATTAAATCCAATCTCTAACCCCTCCATGCCTTAACCTGCAGCCTATAGCTGGAGAAGAACATTCACCATGCTGCCTATTAATACTTTAAATTTATGAGCACTAACTTCAACAGGCTATTAGTCCTATCCAACAGTCCTACTTTCCCTAATCCATTTCCTAGAAAACTATTTCATATTTTTTCTTAACACAAACATCTGTGCTAGAAGCTTCAATTTTGTCATCATTTTGTTTCTTCTCTATTCTGTCTGTATCTTCTTCCCTGCTCCATGTCCAGCTTTTCTTCCCAATTGCCAGCTCTCTAAGCAACAGCAAACTTGGGCCTGCCACCAGACACTTGGCTGCAAAACCAGAGCCACAAAGAGGCAATAGCTTTCCATGACTTTGTAACAGCCCCCCTCTGAGCTGAAATGTCTAGTTTTCTGGTCTAATTCCTCTAATAAATACCCAATTCCATAATCTTCCGAGTGGTTCTGTTTCCCTGATTGAGCCCTGAATTTTTGGAATAGGAAATGGTTAAAAGGAAATAAGACCTTAAAGATACTAACCTGAAATTGCTTCTCTGATTTGATTAAAGGCATTAATGACCCTGTTTCCAGTGGTAAAGGAACACTAATAGTCCATAGCATGCAGTAGCAAAATATTTAAATTATCTGCTGACAAGGACCTACAGAAGACAAAGCTTTGGGTAACTAAGTAGTTGCTGCCATAGAAGATTTTATAAAAATAAGTTGTACAATGGGTTACTTATTTGCTTCTGGGTACACTGAAGAATTCTTTTCTTGGGAAAAGAAAATGATGAACTCAGAGTTTTAAATACAAACTTCAAGGTCTGCGTAAGGGACCAGAAATTATAACTGTCTGAATAGAAAGCCTTATGTAATATGGCTACAGGGCTGAAATTTCTGAAAAGCATATCCTGCAGGTGGCTGAATTACAATGCAAATTCAATTCAAACTCTTGCAGGACATCTTATATTAAAGTTAGGGAAGGAGTAGGGCCCTGAAAATTAGGATGGGGATATATGGGCAGATTCTGATGAATCCCTAAATTCTGTCAAGCATCCTTTGCTAGTAGAAGCAGTCCTTCATCTCATGACTGAAAAAATTGACTCCCTTTGCCTGAAAAGTGTGTAATGGCTTCCCTGAAAGAGTTGCCTTACAAGGGACTGCTAATCTTCCTGAAGATCTCCTCCTAAAGCCTCTCATTATCTAGACCCATAACCAGACTTAAACCTCAGGAGGTCCTGGGGATTGGACACAAAATGTGACCTTTGATGATATGCAATATATACCAAAAGAACTGCAAGATTTGACCAATTTATGTTAACAGAAAGCTGGGAAATACATATTCCAGAATCCCCTTCCTCATATTGTTCTGTGTCAGTGCTAGGCAAAAGAAAAATATGTGTCATGTTTAGAAGATGGAGAAGTTACACATTTAGAAGGGAAACAGCAGCCATTATGCTCTGAAGGTCATGGTGGTTTAAGTAAGGAGAGACAGATGCAGAGGTACTGGCATGTTTAGTTTGTCTTCACTCTTCTTTTTCCCTACTCCATGTCCCCTTCCCTACTCGATGTCCAGCTCTTCTTCTCAACTGCCTGCCCAACAGCAAGACCAACTGTAGCCCCAGGCCCACCAGAAATTTGACTAAGAACTGACAGATGTGGTAGCTATATGCACTAACTTCTATACCAGTCCACTTTGCACTGTCAAACGCCACGAGCTGGGTATTAACAGTTTTTATAACTGCAGGTAGATCTGTGGAGGAACAGCTTTATACAATGTACTTTAATTCTTTCACATATCCTTTAATGAACATTTATAAATTTTATGAAGATAAATGGTTTTAATTAATTTTAAACATTTCAAGCATTTCAAGCTCTCTAATTTGGAACACTCTAAGTTCTCTGAGGAAAATAAATAAAAGGAGCTTTTTCATCCTAAAAGAATAAAAAAAAGACTTACATCATTAGATTGAAACAATCGAGTCATTGCAAAGAAGGCTTCTGTAGCTTCTGTAGTTCCAAAGTATTCACCCTAAGTACAATTAAAAACAAATTTTTAAACTTAAATTATATATATAAGATAAGGATCTTCTCTTTATTTCTGCAAAAATCTTTTAGAACTTGGGAAAATCTCTTTGAAAATGTTCTGCCTCTGTGATTTTTCTGACTTTCAATTTGTAAACCCACATGATCATTTATCTACTCTTTATTTAAAATAATTCAGTATCACACACTATGCCTAAAATTTCTGGAATAGTGGTCTCTGCTAACCTTTTAGCAGAAACATTTTAAATTCCCTGAAAAATTGTGATATAAAAGGAGGTCGAAAATGAGAGTAAGCAGTTTCTAATCAGAATAAGATGTTGCTATTATTATAGCGCCTAAGAGCAGAGATCTTACACTGCACATTTCTATACTCTAATGCCCAGCATAACACCTAACATATCACAGGAGCATAATAAATATTACACTATTATATAAAGAACTATCTATTTGGAATCCCAGCAAACATGGCAAAAAGGGGACCAACCAAAAGGGCAGGAATCAGGTTCATCATATAAAAAAATAAGGCATAAGGGACTGCTATGGATCTCAATATTGGCTCAAGTTCATGAAAACATGCTTTGGATCAGAGCTTCACAAACCTTCATATGGATAACAAATCATCCAGGGATGCTGCCAAAATGCTGACTCGAATTCAGTGGCTCTGGGGTAAAGATTCTGCATTTCTAAAAAGCTCCCAGAGATGCAAATCCTGATCAGGGAACCACATTTTCTGAGTAGCAAGGTGTTGGATAATATTATTTCACTAATATTCCAAACATTTCAGATCACAGATTATCCAAAATATTATCATTTCAGTATTTAATTTCTTCATTAAAAGCAATCTCAATCACTTTTCAGAGTTTCAGATTTCAGTTTTCAAATTTCACATAAAATATAACTAGTCTTCAATGTATTTGCCATGGGTATAATAAATTTTGATGAAAACATTGAAAGTTTAGGATGAAAGACAAAGCATAAGAAGTTTACAACTAATTAAATCAGAGTATCCAGCTTGCTCAACAGCATGAGATTTCTCTCTTTCTTTCATAAATATTTATTGAATATCCAAAAGCCTATGTGCTTTTTGGTTATATTGGAAAACATTAAGTTCCTACTTTTTTACTTGAAACTCAGAGAACATATGGATATGTCAACTCTGGCAGAAATTTAAAATTATTTTTCCATAAAGCTCTACCAAGAATTAGGGAAAGAGATAAAACAAATGCTCCCAAACCTGTTTATGTAGTTAATTGTGTTTATGCTGTGCTTAGTAATCTCCTTATCAAGATAATTAAATGTTTCAACATGAGTTGCCCCATCAAAGAGGTACTGACCAATAGAAAAATATTTGCTACTCTGAATCAACTTTGACTACTAAAACTCTGTTTATATATTGGATTTAGCCAACTTGGACACATGTGTGTTATCAAACCGACTTTGCCTTAAATGTTTCTAATATGCTGCCACAGAGGGATTATGTTGTTTGTGAAGAGATATATTTTATCTGAAACTATGTGCTTGTTACTCAGTCTTCATTTGCAAACAGCAAAACTTTATTAAATCTCTGGATAAGGTCTTTAGTCACAAAACATGGTAAAGATAAAATATTCTCTTGGAATTCAAACTGGAAACCACAATCATCTTAGCACCACATGTAAACCACCAGAGACATATGGTATATATGTGTGTGTATATTTAACTGTGTGTATCTACATATACATATATATAGTTGGCCCTCCAGGCCTCTGGGTTCTGAATCTATGGTGTCAATTAATCTCAGATTGAAAATATTTGAGGAAAAAAATTGTTTGTACTGAACAGACTTTTTCCTTATTATTATTCCCTAAACAATATAGCATAACAACTATTTACATAGCATTTACATTGTACTAGGTATTATAAGTAACCTAGAGATGATTCAATATATACAGTAGAATGTACACAGGTTATATGCAAATACTACACCATTTTATATCAGGGACTTAAGCACCCTCGGATTTTGGTTATCTACAGGAGGTCCTGGAACCAGTCTGCTACAGAGACTGAAGGAATATGAATCTATAAAGCAAAATCATATTTTCAAAGGTCCTAGATAGTTCATGAGATTTAAAGTCTGTGGCAAAAAACCATAAGGAAAAATCAAATTAATAATAATAATAGCAAAAGCAGAACCTACATTCCATCAGTGCAAATATTTTTGCTGGTTTGTCTACACACAGTATAATAGTTGTTATGCTATGCTAATGCCTAGAACAGTGCATAGGACACAGAAAGCATGCAGACACAGAAAGCATAATTATGTGCTGAATGACTGAAGGAAAATTATTCCTAAATGCTTACTATGTGCTCAGTACTATTATCAGTGCTTTATGTTTATTATCTCATTTAATCATTACAACTTTATATAACAAGTATTATTTTAAATCTCATTTTCAGAAAAGGACATTAAGGCACAGAACAGTTACTTGCCCAAAATCATAATGCTATAACAGTGGAACAGGGATAATAAACATAAAATCTGAATATTAAAATCAAAGCTTTGAAACACCACTATTATACAAAAATTAAAAGATAAAATATCTGCAATTTATCTGATTTTGCACTCTATTTTCAGAGGGAAATAAAGATCTCTAAACACATGTAAACATTATCTTCTAACTAGTACTCATTAAATTAAAACCAAGCAATTTATTGAGAATCACTATGTTGATAGCATGAATAAAAATGTACAGGTTGGGCATCCCTGATCCAAAAATCCCAAATCAGAAACTTTTTGAGCATCAACATGACATTGAAAGGAAATGTTCATTGGACTATTTCAGATTTTCAGATTAGGGATGCTAAACCTTAAGTATAATGTAAAAATTCCAAAAAAACAATCTGAAATATTTCTGGTCCCAAGTATTTCAAATAAGGCATACTCAACCTGTATTTGTCACAGTCCTTGTGCTCAAGAAGTTTTACGTATTTTGCTAACCAAACACTGTTAATGTTAAAATTCAGTGAATATAAGATAAATAAATAATTATACTTTCCAGAAAGTACTTTATTGCATGTTATACATTTTTATTCCAGGACACAAAGCTGAGGAAAATCAAAATAATTTACCTGGTTCAGTAAGTAAAGAATCTTTGTAAGAATATGCAAGCATCTTCTTGGATTGATAGGAGTTTCATTGAATATACGAGCCTACAGAAACATAAAAACATTGTTATATATAGTGTATTTTCTACCTTTTCTATCACAGATTACTGCAAATCAACTTTAATAGAGACTATTTTGAATCACCATATCCAAATAATGTTAGCTGTCTACAGTTCCCTATTTACTACTGTATATGATAAATTATTACATGAGGCCTTGATTTTCTATTCTATACTAACTCATTCACTTAGATCAACTACTTCAACTTTGTGGGCTTTATGTTTTAAACAAGAATCACAATATTTATCTATATCACATGAATACAATGAGCTTAATATCTATAACTTCTTTCAATAACCTTGCACTAAACCTCTTCTGACATTTTATTTAAAATTCCCAACACGTGGCAGAGCCTGCATATCTTTGCATTTCTCTAAGTTCTAGATTCTCCTCTGACAATTAACCCCTCTTCCTTTTCCCTCAAGTCTAAATTCTCTGAACTCTGTTACGTTCCTTGTTTTGGATGTTCTGATCATAGTATCCCAGGATTCTCCACCCACCATTCTAAAATGGAATAGAAAAGAAGGAGCACCATATACTTCCAAGTCATACCTCCTGTAAGACAGCACTCTTCTCCAGATGCTGGAAAGGATTGGAGCCACTACCTATATTATAAAACAAACAAATGTCTTTAATATCTGTCCTACACAAACTTATATACCTTTCAGAGGAGGGTACTGAATGCTTAGGAAATCTCACCTAAGTGAGGTGACCACTTGGATACCACCGTGACAGTCACTACTAACATGCATATAAACTGAATGAAAAAAATATTTGATTCTGATACTAGCTCTGTACATTGCCGTACTGTAAGAGCTCGGACTTCCCTTTTCCAGGAACTCTGTCCAAAAAGAGTCTTCTTTCCTTGCCATCTTTCTCCATGAATGATAAAAGTATGTCATTCCGACAACCGAGATAAATGATATTGTGGTAGGGCACTTTTGACTTCCCTAAAGATAAGCACTCTTTTATTTTACGTGTTTCTAACATTTACTGAGAGGGAGACACGAAGAGTTTCACAGAGAACCATACAGACGTAGAGCTGGAAGACCGAACCCTCTACCACACCGTGTGAGAGCAGCTATCGAACACTGAGAATTTTTCTTTCTGAGGCAGCTTGGCATCTTCCCCATTTGCTCTGGACCAAAGGCAGGTATCAACACGCAAGTGACTTCGGGACGCCTGAGCAGTCAACCAACTGTCCCCCGGGACAGACTTGTCCCCTGGGAACGCGACAGAGGCAAGGGCCCCCAGGAAGACTGAAAGGCACAGGCACTTCAAAGTTCATGGACACACACTGTCCCACCGACCCCAGACGCCCTCGGGGCCTGACCCTACCAGCAGCCCCGCCGCCAAGACGCGTGCACGCACTCCGCCCCCAGCCGTGGGGCCAGCCGAGAGCGGCGGAGGCGGCTTGGAGGGGCTGCGCCAGGGAGGGGACGGGGACGGGGAGGCGGACGGGGACGGGGGCGGGGCCGCCGAGCTGCCCGAGGCTGCGCGCGGGCGCCGGGACGGGAGCGCGCGGCCCTGGGGGAGGCTCCGGGCCCGGGAGGAGGGGCTACGGACGGGCCCCCGGCAGGCGCGGAGGGCAGGGGAGGGACCGGCTCCAACTCCGGCCCCCGACACCACAGCGCCCACGCCCCCAGCCCCGCCGTCCCGGAAAGCGGGTGGCGGCGGGCGTGGGGAAAGGGCCGCCGAGGCTGAGGGTGGGCCCCAGAAGCCCCGCGCGTACCAGACTCCTCGTCCTTCTTGTCGAATTTTTTAATCATCTTGGATGACTTCCCAGCGCCCAGACCCAGCGCAACCGTCCCAAGCGCCGCAGCCGGCGAGCGGAAGAGGCTGCAGGAAGGCCGGCCCCGTGCCCTTAAGCCGGTTGGGCCGCCGCGCCGTCACTCGGGGCCAAGGCCCGCCCTCCCCGGCCGCCGCGGCCCCCCCTGCCCCCCCCCCGGGACGCAGCCACGCCCTCCCCAGCCGGGCAGGGGCGGGGCCAGGTGCTGTCCCCACGTGCTCACAGGGCCCACCTTGCTTGCGACCCTGCATCCACTCGTGCTGCGGCAGGAATGTGGTTTTATTTGGACGGCGACTTCTGCAGGCCCCTCGGTCTCCGGAGAGCGAGGCGGGAGGCCTGAAGGGATTGTGGTCACTGAATGACAGTGGCATTTTGGATAATCCACTGCGGGACCCTTCCATAGCGGAAGGCGCTTTCCCCTGGCACGGTTCTGGTGGGCTTCTCTTCCAGGAGCGTCGAGAGGGTTAGTGGTTCCCAAGTCACCTTGGAAATCGACATTTTACTCTCTAACTTCTTGGAGACTAGGATAAAACACAGGACACCTGGGTGAATGTGGATTTTCAGAAGTACTAGAACGGTACTTAATGAGAGGCTTTAAAGAGACCCACTTGGAGAGACCAGAAACCTAGTCTACTGTTAGCAAGCGTGCAGATTGTGAACCGCGGACTACCTTTCCCCACCTTCTTTATAATTTTGGACTCCCTTCATCAAAACCCAGTTTAAAACACACTGCCAGTTTAGAGGCTTCCTTGTATAATCCCACCCCTTTCAAATGATCCCTTCTGAAACCATGTTGACACTTAAGTTAATGTGCATTCACTCGTATATTCATGTTCCTCTTAGCCTTTTTTCAAAGTGTATGCTGATTTTCTGTTCTCTTGTCTGAGAATGTGACTAAGAAATTTTTTCTACCTTTGGCTTCAGTGACATCACTTTATCCAGATTCTCATTAACCTCTGCCTGCTCTTTGGAATACTCCTTTGTGGGACCTTTTTGCTCCTATCTTTCCCCACTTTTTGGATACATTATGCATGCCTTGTAAATATCCCCTGAATCTATTCCCCTGTCCCTGCTGCTGGCACCTTAGTTCAAGTCCTATTATCTGCCTCTTGGACAGCCTCTTAACTAACCTGTATGGCCCCCATCCAAACTGTTCTTTATGTAATCTTTATTTGGATGCCTGGTGAACATGAAACATTATTGGGGAAGAGGGAGTTGCTAGCTCTTTCATTTGCTTGACATGGAGACATTGGTACAACTTCCCAGCAGATTGCCTTTGGTTAGGAAATGTACCATAATGGGCTCTTTAGATACATAAGTATCAGCTCATTTTTCTTGAGAGAAATGGCAGAGTCACCATGAATCTAATAAATGCTGCAGACTGAGATATTAAGTGTTCTGTTTAGAAAAAGAAATTGAATGTATCCTTAACAGAATTATGCCCTTGCAAAATTAGAGAAATTCTAACCTACATTAGATTCTAGAGAAATCTTTCCCCCAAATATGGTTTCAAGATGAACTGTTGATATCCTACATATGGTATCATTTAAGATTTAGCTCCAACTTGACTAAATATACTATTAACTATTATGTTTGCCTTATCTGGCTTATAAAGTTCAAACCAGACTTTAGGTGGAGTCTCCCTTGAAGGAAATAGATGTTTTGCACTTGTTTATTCTGGGACTAAAAATGTGCAGACTTTGGGAAAGGAGAGACCCTCTTCCTCTTCCTTGGACCAGGGGCATTGGGAGCCTAGCCAGAGACAAGGTAGGTAAGCCCAGAGATTCCCAAGAATGGGTAATGTCTTGGAGGCCTTCTGGGAAGTATGAGAGAACCTGGGTTGAGCTTGTGGATGAGCCTAAGTGTAGCCCCTTTTAAAGCAAGGTAAATCACTCCCTGCTTTTCAGCTTTCCTCTGGATCTGTGAAGTTTTGTTTAATACCACAGGCTGGTTTTAGCCATACAGTATATGAAGAGTATAAGGGGAGCAGTAGTAGATGTGGGGTGGGGTGGGGTGGCAAATAGGTAAGGCAGAAGCAGAGAGTCTTGAAGAAGCCAGTTAAGGGATGGCACAATATGGCACAATTCACACCTCTGGAATTGTGGCTATTTGGGCTAAGGAAGGCTGGCAAAGGTGTTAAGTGATCACTATGGCTTTGTGGAACAGGTGAGGATACCTTAGAAAACCTCAGAAATTGCTTGAGGAGAGAAACCTGGCAGGAGAAATGGACCTTGTCCAGAAGCCATGAGGTGGTGAACTCTAAGGATCCATCAGTTATACATCTAATACATAAATGTGTATTCAGTGCTCTGAAATCCTTCAGTGGATCTCAGCTGCCTACTGGATAAAACCCAAATGCTTATTTATATAATATGCAAGGCCCTTTATGATCTGGTCTACCTCTTTCACACATATTGAAAGTGCTGTTATTAATGCTTGATAAATGTCTAACACTTAGTAGGTACCCCATAAATGCTGCTAAATGACAATATGTTAGGAAGATATTCACTGCACCCTTTTCCATACAACCTTATTCCAAATTCCTTCCACCCCATGCCCTACCCTAACCCCCCAAAAACTTGTGGACCTCTGAGACTCTATCCTTTGGCCCATTCCAGAGCAATTTTCTCCAAGTATAATAGGCATACTACTAGGTGGTTCTAGGTGGTACACAGATAAACATTTTAAAATTTAATTATACCAAATTTTATGTGTGTCAGAAAAAATATGTAGTAATCGTGATATATCAAAATTATGGTGTCATCATATAGTATTAATTAGGACAAGAATTTTTTAAATTGTTTTAAAGAAAAATGCTAAATGAATCATAGAGTAAATAATCCATCAATATGGCAAAAACTATTAAAGTGTTAGATGATATAGTTTGGGAAACACTATGCTAGAGCTTTCTTGAAATTTGAGGATTTAAACAGAATCCAAAGCTTAGTACCACCAGAGCCTCTAGGAGTTATTAGCTTCCATGCTACAAGGAAAAATAGTCCCCAGAACTACCACAAGAGATACTGACTTGCCCACATCTGTAATCCCCATAGATTCTACCTCCAGCCCACATCTCAGTCCAGTAAGCCATTGCTTTGGAAGAGAGGAGCTTACCATCTTTCCTCGTATCTCTTTCACAGACTGGAGCAAAGTTGAGCTGAGGGTACATTTGTTTCTGTTTCCTCAAAGCACATTGTTTCGAATATTTCCCTTCACTCTTGAAATCATTGTCAGTGGAAAACCTTAACAAAGAAAATTCATTTGGTAGATCTTAGGACAGGAGGTTTAATGGAACCAGTCACTTTAAAGTTGGCTATGTATCTTCAGAGATTTTAAAGGAGAAGAAGGAACAATGACAAGAGGCTATTGATGAGTACAGAGTGGGAGTATTGCTCAGTGGGAAGAGATGCTTCTGAACTTAGCACTGTAAAGCTCTGAAGGAATTCCAGAATCTCCTCCCTAAACTAGATATAGGCTGCTCCTATAACTAGTTTCAAATAAAACCTATTTGTCTTTGTGTTCTCATAGCACATGTTCATGTGCTATAGTCCCTAACTTGCATTGAGTGTACATTTTTTTCTGTTTTCTCAAAGCACAGATGTTTCAATATTTCTCTTCACTCTTAAAATCCTTGTCAGTGGAAAACCTTATTTTTGCATTACGGTTTCTCTTTCATTAGAGTGTAAATGAGGTTGAGGGTCACATAGGGAAGCTGTGTCTTATCGTTATACAGTTGTACATGTTCCCTACAACCACAGAGCATGTTGTTAGGTTGTATTGAAAAGAGACAGTAACATGAATAAGGAAAAGATAGAAAAGAAAATGAGAACAAGAAGAGCCAGGACTTCACCTAAACCATTGTTCCCGTTTAGATGTAGAATCTTTCAACTGTGTCAGAGGGAAGATAGGTTTTAGCCCAGATCTTAACTTTTTCTTCTGAGGCATCAGGGGCAGGCAGAGGTTCTCGGTGGGTTTGGGCTGATGACAACTTTCCTGTAGCAGAGGGGAAAAGAATGAGGAAGAGAGCTGAGTCCCTTGGGATTTAAAGGCTGACTTAAGTTCTTGGGTAAAGTTTCAGTTCCCCTAAAATGAGGCAACAAAACCTGTCAGAAAGGGGAGTGAGAACTCAGAAACTAGAATCAGAGGAAGCAGCTCTCAGAGTAGAATACTACTTAATTTGTTTTATTGCCAGATGACTTGTCCAAAGATCGGTCAGCTTCCTAAGTAATTGATTAAACTTGCCTCCTGCCCCTTGAAAGTGAATGGAAGATGTTCCCACTTTGGGGAAGGATTCAGTTAGTGGCTTTCTTGGAAAATCAAATATTTGGCAATAAATTGGGAAATAGATCCATGAGATTCTACATTCCTTTCTTGGAGTAGCCTGCCTCATTCATATTCCAGTCTCTGTCTGCAACGAAAAGGTCATGAAATGGGATGTTTTGTGAGGTAATAACTTCATTATTACTAAAGGTCATAGGATTAAAGACTTTTGGAAAGAATCTTAAAAGTCATCCAGTCTGTTAATGACTGTTCATCTGACACATCTTCTCCACAGTCTATCAAATGGTTAATCTTTCTATACCAAAAAAAAAAAAAAAAATCCAATCTATTTCATCTTTGAACAGTCAATAGCTATCTCCCTGTAACTTTTACCCTATAGCCCAAACAGAACAAATCTAGTCCTTCTTCCACAAAGTCCTTAAAAATTTTGAAGAAATCCATCATATTCCTCCTAAGCTCTGTCTCTTCCAGGCTAAACATTGCCAATATCTTGAACTTTTATTCATGTAACATGACTTTGAGTTCCCTTATTTTCCTGATTTATCTCATTTGAGAAAGTTACAATTTATATTCTTCCTAATGTGTGTCACTCTGAAATGAAAACAATATGCTAGATGTAGTAATTGCATGCACATCCCCTGACCCTATTAAAGTGTCTATTAAAAAATGTTATCACCACTTCTGAGAGCTTTCCATAACTACACTGTCTAAAATTGCTACTCACACCCATCACATTTCATCCCCTTATCCTGCTTTGTCGTGGAACTTATCGCGTTATACATTATCTTGTGTGATTGTTTCCTTGCTTATGATCTGTCTGCCTCATTAGAATTAAACTTCACTAGAGCAAAGACTTTGGCTTAGTAACTAGTGTATCCCTAACAGCCCTAACAGTGCCTGGAATATAAGTAGGTGCTCAACAGATATTTGTTGAATGAATGAAGGAATGACTAAGCTAATTAATTAACATATTGAGATTTTTCTATCAGAATTTTAAAGTCCTTTTGTCTTTAATGCTGCTACTGAACCATGCCTTTTAAACTCTGAACTCATTCTCTGCAAGCTCTTCTAGTTTTAAGGAGCAGAAATCCATTCAAGTTATCTCAACTAGTAGGTGTTTTATGGTAACAGCACAAGTGCCTAGGAACTAAGACATGGTTAACTATCCAGCCATTAAAGAGCAGAAATCTAGCAGAGCTGGACTTCACAGCAAAAAAGCAGGAACTGAAAAGTTATTCAGAATCCAAGACAGCACTAGTTAAGGCCCACCATCTTAACTCTAGTATATCACTAATATGTTTCTCCTACTTTCTTCCTGCCTGCTTGCTGCTTCTCTTGTTCACTCCTTACCTTTTCTCTCTATATATGTATATACACATATGTATTTTTCTACCTATAATTTCTGCTTCTTTATTTCTACTTCCCTGTACCTTCAACACATTTTTATGGCCCCTATGTCACCCTTCTTCCTCATGGTTTGATTCTTTCAAGGCCTCACCCTATATGTCCTTTCAGCTTTCAATCCCATTGCCTCAGTCTTTTCATTTCCCAGTTCAGATGCCTGGAAACAATAATCTGATTAGCTCAGGTATTTTGGTTGTGGTAGGTTGGTTTTTTGGTTTTTTTTTAAGATTTGTTTTTTTGTCTGTTTTGGTTTGGGGGGTACCAATCTACACCAGAGGTCACTAACTATCCTATGAATTTTGCTTCACTGGGTCTGGTATCCTCCTCTAGTCCCAGCTAGGCATAGAGACAAGATCATGTTGCACAAAATAGAATCTCTAAGGACATTCCCATCTTCAGGAGACTGTGTTAGGGTCAGTTTCACTTAGAAGGGGGTGTGAGTATAATAATCACTGAAATAGACACATCTGACATGTTCCACAATTTGCCTACTGGAACTCATACTCACCTTATATATGTGCCTGGGCATAGCAAAGAATGCTTTTCTTGTATATGATCCTGTGTTTACAAAAGAGTGTCACATTTGTCCAGCAACGGAAGGAGGGGATGCAGCATGAATATTAAAGAGCCATTATAGATATTGGGCGTTTCAATCTTCTTGAACTCGTTCTGATAGGCCCAGAAAATTACCATAGTGCCAGTCTTCGACAATCAGAGCCTTAATTCTGTCCATTAATACAATTTACTGGTACCACAATTTGCTCATGAACATGATTAGGTTCTGCATCTGACCTGAAGGGTTCACAAAGTGCTAGCTGTTGGAAGAAAGCTCTTTTTGCACCCAGGTTACACAATAGCCTTGTATTTCCTTCTCTACCATAAGCAGGGCAATCCTGGCCTGAAATTTGTCCTTTTCTCAGTGTATATTTGGTCCACTACCATGAGAAATGACCACTGAGCTATCTTCAAAAGGCACAAACTTTCACACCCACAGACCCCAGGCAAGTTATTCATTAACTCCTTTGTCAGAATACAACATTGAATATTAGCATTTTATCTTCCACTTGGAGAGGAATACCTCACTGCCATCATTTAGCAACTAAGGAAACATTAATTCCAAATTCATTACATTTTATTGTTATAAGGGTCTGTCTTGGGTAATCCCACGCCCACCATCAAATTGCTATTAGATTCTTTTGTTTGCACTTTTATTTATCTCATTTAATTTGTTCTTGTAAGATTAGACCCTCTCTCAGGGCTGCCAACATCTATTTTAGATTTCGATTCTCAAATATCCCTTATATCAATTTTCTTCACTTCTCTGCTATAATTTAGTTCAAATCTTCAGTATCTCTCACCTTGACTATTATCATATTATGACTAATATCATAACTAATCTTTCTGGGTTTTGCCTCTTCCACTACTAATGCACATTTCTTCAATTTCCAAAATGGTCTTCCTAAAATGTAAATTTGATTATGGCCTTTTATCTCCTGCCATTTACTTTCTTACATCTTCCTGAATGCACTGCACTTTCTCATGTCTTCATGCCTTTGCACTTCCCTCTGATTGGAATATTCTCCTATTCTTTTGTCACAGGTCACCTCCCTGATCATTCCTTTTCCCCGACAGAGATACTATTCTTTATTATATTACTTCTATATCTTATGTATTCTATTATTCATATATCCTGCTATATTATAATTACTTTTATACATCTCATTTATTAATCTGTCTCTCCTAGTAGACTCCAAGTTCCTTCAAGATAGAAACTATCCTGTATATTACATACAGGACATCTTTATATTCTGGCTTTTAACTTCCTGTATGTTTAGCAGTTGTTTAGTGAATGGATTTGAATTTGTTTAGTCTATAACAGAGTTTCAAATGTCTGGCTTCTGGGATAGTAAATTCCCTGTTCTCCTCTCCTGATACCCAAAAGCAATGTGTGTAAACCACAACCCTTGACTCCTTTTCCATTTAGATATTTATTTCTGTTCCTTACTCCTCATTTGCTGATTCATCTTTTGCTACTTTCTTCTCAAGGAGAAAGCCAGTGGCCAGTTAACCCATTGTTAGTTATAAACTAAATATCTTCAGCCAAAGAGGAGCACTTTCCAATCAAGACCCCATTTTCTCACTGCACATAAGTTTCATGACTCAAGCTTGTAGAATTCTGATTCTGAGTATGTCCCAGGCTCTCTAGATTCTGTTTTGTGAAGCATATGGCCAAGAATAAGAAGGAAGATGGAGTTTCCCAAGCATGGAATGCTCCATGTCAAGTTAGCTCACTTCTCCAAACTAACTCCTAACTAATTCCTCAGGGTTCGTGTTTGGGGTTCCAGGAAACTTCCCCAGGCCCCATTACCTTGAGCAGTAACTCCTTTGGAAAGTATTTTGGTGCATTGTCCTTTTCTTCCTCGGTGATTGGGCATGGAATGGGGTTGTTGGTCATAATCAGTGAAGTTTTATCCTGATCATACTCTGCTACTTTTAACCTGAAGCTTGTGGTTTTCCTTTTTTGAGCCAGGAATTTCTGCACCGCGGTGGGCTTCAAAGGCTCATAGTACTGGGACTGAGCAGACAGAAAGGTTTCCAGAGAGACAAAGAGATTAGGTCAAGAGAAGATTAACAAATCAGTTGGTTGATCTTTTTTCTCTGTGGGGTAAGGACAGAGGCTGGGCAGGGGCTGGACAAACCCACTTCAAAATTCATTAATCAGAAACTGGCTGAAGTTCTCTGTCCATTTCTGTCTTCAGTGCATTCCCTTGCAAATAGACTAAGGGCCTGGGCAACTGCATTGGAAAGCTTTCTCCAATGAAAGGAGCATGATGACTTAATTCTTCCGGAAAAGGTAACACAAGGCCCAATGCAGTGGGGCAAACAGAAGTTTCCATGTGGCTAAACCTAACTGGCCTTCCCTCTACAGCTCTCGCTGAGGCAGAGGGGAAACAGCAAGACATCAAATCTCTTTGCTGAGAGTTAGTTCTTCAGCAGTGGAGGACAGGCCAATGCAACACCCTCCCTCCATTATGCACCTTTTCCCGCCCTCCACCGTTTCTCCACAGGCACAAACCCATGAACACATTCATAAGCACATCCTGAAAGAGGAAAAGCAGTCACGAAAGACAGCATATCACTTAAGGTGTGGATGGGAAGGGGCTGTCCCACTAAATTTGCTTTTCTCTCAGTAGGAGGAAGGCAGAGGGTCAGAAAAGGAGGGAAAAAAGGGAGAAAATGGATTATAAATATTTTTTCCTGATCATAAATATGTTTTCTCAAATTAAAGAAAAATATCAGCTGCAGGGACCGCTTCATTCCCAGTTCCCATCTCCCACCTCCCCACCTGACTCTCAGCACCGCCTCTGGCTGGCAAGGTGTCCTGGAAGTGGCTCTGCCTCTGTGTCCCCACTCACACAAGCTGGGAGCATCGGGGGCGCTCAGGATACTCCACAATGGGCCTCTGTCCCTCTGCTGAAACCTGCCCTTAGAGGTCTTGGGAGAATGCTCTTTCCACCTACCAAATTTGGACGGACCGCATAAAGCTGAAAGTTCTCTAGAACAAATTTCTGTTGCCCAGCTGCACCATAAATCTAAAGATAATAAGCAAAATTAGTGTTTTCAAGTTGCATCTGTCCTCAAGAGTATTCCATTCCTGACCTCACCTTAGTCTCACTAAAAAACTGGTCTCTAATTTACACTCAGTGAGGAGCACACTGTGCTTCATGTTTTGCACTCTGGGTTTCTGGAACAAGGGCCACGGCAAGGAGAACTGGGTTCTGAGACATCCTGACAGGGAAGCTTGTGAATGGAAAATGATGTGCACCAGCCTTATAGAATGTCAGGGAAACCCATTGAAGGGTGACGTAGATAAGGTCAGCATCAAAGTTTAGACTGGGACAAATCTCTGAAAGGAATTGCACCCCTTCTGCCTTTTCCAGATCTATGGGAGTGAAATTGGTGAAAATCAACATGGAGGACAATCTTTAAGGAAAAAAGCAAGTTACAAAAGGGCAATAACCTGAGGGTTGTAGGTGCAAGGGGGAGCCCAGGCACAACTCTGCCAGCTGAGCTGGGAACAGATGCATTCACAGAGGAAGGGAGAAGTGGTAGTGCATTTTGCATTTTGGAATGTCTCTGCAGTATATAGTTCTTCCAGAAATGATACCCCCCAAAAATTGAATTTTGGTAACACTTCTGTCTACCACTTTGCATTCTTCTGCTGGTGGTAGTCCTGGATATTGGAAGATTGAGTGTCATGTCTGGTGGTAGAAGAGCTGAGCCTCTTTCATTCCCCTCCTGCTGGCCCCAGTGTTCTTGCCTCCTTTCTGGCATTGCCTTAGCTAAGACTTAATCAAAGGGACAAGAACATGAGGAGGAGGAGGCAGAACTCTGAATTACCTTCTTTTGGCTTGGCATAATCAGAAATGAGAACAAAAGGAAGGATGCATAATCCTGTATTAGGATCCGCACTCTAAACATTGCCACACCCCATAAGGAGGTGGTATGGTAAGATGGGGTGCAGAAGAAAGGGAACATGCACTGAAAGGTGAATAAAGTAAGAACGCCAAAGGAGAATAGAGAAACAGTAAGAATGGGACAGAACTGCAGGATGAGAGGAGGCACTTCTGTGCTCCAGGAGGAAAATTCCAGAAGTTGGCGATTCTTGGGGATTGGAGAAGGAGAGGGCAGAAAAAATAGCAGAGTACTTCATACATTCCTTTAGGGATGGTGGGATGAAATACAGGATATATCCCAAAAAGCGATCGTTTAATTTTTACTACATTTGGAAAATCCATTTGTTCAAAACAAATTTACAAAAAACCCCTGCTTCACCAATATGAAATGTATGACACAATTAGAATCATAGAAGTCTAGGAAAATTTTATTTGGGTGAGAGGTGTGAAGTCTTTTTTTAAAAAAAATAGGTTTTTAAAAATGTTAATCTTAGAGGAAAGTCCCTGGGTAAAATGTTTTTACTCCTGAATTTTTCTGAGGTATTGCATCTCTGTTCCAAATTATTCTTCAGCAGTTGACTAAACCCACAAGATTGTCCAAATTGGATGGAATATGTTTTTAGTTTGTCATGTTGAATTGCACTATCTCCGGCTGATTAAATAAAAGTTGGCCTGGAAAATTCACTTGAATGTGATAAACATATTAAAGCAACCAAGATACCCAATGGAGTTTTGCTACAAGATGTAGCTGTGAAGTCTAGGTAAGTCAAGGTTTAGCACTCTCCTACTCCCCAAAATAGGCTCTGGTTCCTGGGTTTTGTGCCCTAATTTGTTGCTAATGTGTCCTTGTCTCTTCTTTTTTCTATGCCTCTGTTTCTCTTTCATAAAATGACACAAATTAACCTTGTTCTCTATATAAATCTTTACCCTCTTTTGCTTTCAATAGCAAGTTTGTGAAGGCCAACTTGTAAATACTCTGGCCACTCCAAAGAAAGATTACACATGAACATCTGCTGCTGCTCTTTCTTACCTCATCAATATCAGCAACTATTATTCCTTTTCCAGGTTTAAATGGGCTATATTTGGAAGTCTCTGATTGGGCATCTTGAAACCTGAAAAAGGCAGAACATCCAGTTGCATTTTCTGACTTGGAGGCCTGGCCTTCTGCAAGTTCTCAATCTCCCTCAACGAAGTTTGGGAGCTTAACTTAGAAGAGCCCAATTTAGGTGATCATGAATTGAATACGTAGTGAAGACTAGAACTCATTATCCTGCCTGCATGCCGGGGGAAATCAAAACTTTGATTTCCGGCCGGGCACGGTGGCTCACGCCTGTAATCCTAGCACTCTGGGAGGCCGAGGCGGGCGGATTGCTCAAGGTCAGGAGTTCAAAACCACCCTGAGCAAGAGCGAGACCCACCGTCTCTACTATATAAGAAACAAATTAATTGGCCACTAATATATATACAAAAAAAAATTAGCCGAGCATGGTGGCGCATGCCTGTAGTCCCAGCTACTCGGGAGGCTGAGGCAGGAGGATTGCTTGAGCCCAGGAGTTTGAGGTTGCTGTGAGCTAGGCTGACGCCATGGCACTCACTCTAACCTGGGCAACACTTTGATTTGAAGAGTTAAACAAGCAGAACTTCTAGGAGATATAATGACATCTGACAAGCTGGTTTCTTCTAAAACACGGATTTTAGACCACACAAGGAGGTGCTCTAGTAGACCTCTTAAGCTAGACCCTCATTACCTTTAAACACTGCCGCCTCCTATTTTGAATGCCTACCTGCCTACTCTTCCTCCATATGGCCTTTGCCAGTGATTGGCCAATGCCTAGCAATGGATCTATCAGAAAGAATATGGTTAATGGAACTTCACATCTAAATTTCCAATTCTTATTGACCTTGCTTGGATTACTGACTTTCTCTTCTTCCTAACCCATCTAAAGGTTTTCTTCCTAGAACTAGGGCAATAAAAATAATAATCAGTGGCAAATATTTTGTACTCTGCTTTTCTTCACTTGCTTTTCCAACCCTCACCCAATACTGGTTCCTTTGGAGAAAAGAGGGAAGGGAAGAGTGACAATATTTAATAATAAAGTATTTGGGATTCCCTGACTGATTTTTTTTTTATTTATTATTTTTTTTTTTAGCAGATCTCTTGTCCAGGCTATAGTGCCGTGGTCACCTAGCTCACAGCACTCAACTCTGGCTCAGCAATCTGCTGCACTCCAGTAGCTGGACTACACATGCACATCGCTAATTTAATATTATAGTTGGCCATTAATCTTCATTTAGTAGTAAGACGTTCGCTCTTGCTCAGGCTGGTCGATCCTGACTCGAGCAATCTGCCGCTCACCTCCAGAGTGCTAGATTACAGCGTGACACCGCCCGCTATGACTGATTCTTAACCATTACGCCTGAACATGTATAGATGCCCATCAGTAAAAGGTTAATGATTAAATACTAGCCCTTCTCCTTGGAGATAGTTCCTTTGTGGTTAAATTAGCTCAAATTAACAAGAATTGTGCAACTACCTTAACTAACATCTCCCTTTAAAAATGAGGATAGCAGAATAAGGACCAAAAATAGAAAAGTAGAAATAGCCAAGCTATTTCTACTTTTCAAGAGCTATTTCTACTTTCAAGCTATTTCTATTTCAAGAGTTGGTGGATCAACTGGCTATAACATGGTGCAAATAATCTCAAATCCAGGATCGAATCCCATCCAAGGATGGCTAGCTTCCATCTGTTGCTGTCCACCAGCTGCGCCATAACTCAGGCCAGAGATCTTAAAAATGGTCCCAAAGGGAGCGGTGACCCATGTGGCTAGACCAAAATTCGTCCTAACTAAACATCTCAAAGTTTTGCCTTTTGATGTGTCCTATTGCCTTAAATTATCTAATAATTAATAATACAGTATAATCTTTATTGTAGCACTTTTCAAAATGTCCAGTTTTAAAGGCAGCACAGGATCCCAGATACTCTTCTTCAAGGACGATTTAAGGCAAAGAACTACATGAAAGTGCTTTTCAGTCCAACAGTGTCCATCTTTTTAGCAAAGCTATTCTTGTCGCTGCATGAGACCAAGAACAGGATCTGGTTTTTGATCTGGGGACAGTCAATCAATTAAATGGATTTAACGAAGGTCTAATCTATAACAAGTACTGTTCAAAGTGCTGTGGGTTACACAAAAGTTACTACAGTGGTATTTATAACTTAGTTGGCAAACAAGACTACACACTTGGTATATCTCTTTGAGCCCATTGCTGTTCACTGCTAATTGTCCAACTTGAGGCAAGTATCACCCAAGACCAAAATCGGTGTCTCTGAAGAGTCCAAGTTCTGCAGGGTTCAATTCAATCCAAGCATCTTTCCTTAGCACACACTGTGTGCCCAGCCCCATTCTTGATCCTGTATGGGAAAGAAGAGAAGACTGATAGGTGCTATTGTAGATGTAGAAAATGTGCAAGACATGATGATCCTTGCCTCAAGAAATTAAGTTTATTTGGCAAATGAGGGGAAAGAGGAGAAAGTGATTATTAAATGTGAAACAGTAATGACAAACACATACTTTTACATTAAATAAGTCACTTCATCTCTTGGGTCTTAATTTCCTCATCTGCAAAATAGAAAGGATTAACTTAATGATTTTAAAATGACATTCAATTCCATGATAATAATGACATTTACCTACATGAAGACCTGAAATAAATGAATTCATATGTGTCAATAGTGGGAGAAAGTTGGAGGAGTAGCCATCTTTAATTTACTTCTCTCAATATAACCAGGCTTACCATAGTTTAGTCTGAGAAGCTAGGAAGGTGTGTGTATATGTTGAGGTAGGGACTGCAATACTTTTTGATGTGGACAATTAGAAATGGAAGATACTATCTGATGGTGTAGAATCTCCATTCAGAGAAAAAGAGGTGAGTGAGTCTTGAAGAGTGTTCCTAAAGAATGTGGAGCTTTAACTGGGCCTTGCAGGATGGTGTGTGAAGTCACCTAACTGGAAGGTCATTTGCTGTTGTTGTTAAGTAGTAAGAAATAAAGTAGCTAGGTAGATGAGATCACACTATAGGGCCTTGACAATAGTAGAACTTGGATATGACCTGAATCAGCCCAGTTCCTGTGAAGCCCACAGGTTTAGGTGAAATGTCTGTGTTAATATTGATAGTGTTACTAGGTGATTGTTTAGGTTTATACCTAGTTTGATGGTCTAGAGAGAACCCTAAGATGGTTGACTAGATTTATGCCTAGACTGAACTAAACCCTGAAAGGGAAATTTCAGGGAAACACACTAATACATGTCCCACCTGTTCTCACTTTAGTTTTCTGAAATCATAAGTCCAGTTTGTATATATACTGAAACTAAAATAAAAACTAAATAAAATGAGCCAGCGGTTTGGGATGTACAAGTCTTGTGTTGCTAGTCTGCAGGCCAGGCTAGGAAACAAATCACACAAACACTAAAACTGCATTTAAATAAAAATGTAAAGATTTGGTGTACAATACCTTTAAGGATATCAGGAAATCATACTTCAGAGAGGAAGGTGAAATTTCTTGGCATGGAAACTTCCATTTTGAAATATCTTAATGATTCTTTGCTGGATTCTGGAGAGACACTGGGAATTTGTGATGAACAGGCAATCTAGAATGCGAGGGGTTCTATGTTGGAGACAGAGAATGAAAAGGACAAAGACATACTTAAACAAAATCTGCTATAATCTCCAATTTATTTTTCTAACCTATGACTTCCCCACACACACACTCTGATTTTCAATCACCTCTTAATTAACTCTACCTAAGCGAATGTTTCACCCTATTCTGAAACACAGTGAGCATTTTATTCCTCATATATAAAACTATGTCCCTAACCTCTGCAACCATTTGAAAGTTCTTTATTTTATTACTATTCTTGTTTCCCCTAAAGATAGACTTTCCAAATTAATCCGACCCCAAACTGTAGTGCCTACAGGCATTGTTTTTTGTGCATGTAATTTATATAATATCTTGTTGTTTACTTGTACTTTTCTCTTTTTGAGACAGAGTCTCACTCTGTTGCCTGGGCTAGAGTGCTGTGGTGTCAGCCTAGCTCACAGCAATACTTGTACTTTTCTTATGTGCTGTGGTGTCAGCCTAGCTCACAGCAATACTTGTACTTTTCTTATGTGCAGAGCTAGTCTGCCTCCCAGGCAGTAAACTCCTTAGAAGTGGCAATGTGAACTGTATACAATTCATGCCCCCACAGTGCTTTGCATGTTAGGATTCAAATTAGTATTTGTTTATTCAATATATTTGCTGAACACTTAGGACATGTCAGATACCATCTTAGGTGACAGGAACCAAACATAATCAGATGTAATCCTGGCCTTAAGGGGAGCTCACAGTTTAGCCAGGAAGAGAGACAAGGAAAGAGTTGATTGCAAGGGAGGGTGATGCTTATATTATAGAGAGTTCAGGATGCTTTGGGAGCAAAGAGGAAACGCACTTAACCCAGACTGAAAGAGAACTGGGAGAGATCTTGAGCTAATACCTAGACTGAGCCTGGAAAGGTAGTGTGAGTTAACCAAGTGATGAGAAGCGGAAATGGACTTTTGAGAAAGAGGGAGAAGCACAGATGAAAACATCAGAATGCAACAAGGCATGGCTTATTTAGGAATTGGAGACACTGTCACTGCAGCATGCTTGGAATGTGAGAGTCAGGGAGGGCAGCAAGAGGCGAGACTGGAGAGGTAACAGTATCACGATTCAAAAACGAGTCCTGAGAGGAAGCGTGTTGTTTATCTGGGTAATAAACAGCTATTGAAGATTTTAAGTAAGGAGATACATTGAGCAATATGTGTCTTAGAATAGGAAGTGGTGGCAGTGTGGACCATAGATTGGAGAGCTACAAGGAGGCCCAGAGAAGGCTACGGGGATGAGAAATGATAGAGTCTGTAGCAGTCACAAATTTGTGCCATTCACTTCTGTCTCCTAGCCCTGGATGCTTCTCCAAAGGTGGCCATTATACTAGGAATTTGGGAATTGATAAAGATGCAGAGATGAAAGGCAACTCGTACCTGAGTCACACTGTGCCATGTTCCAGACAGGAGATCAGCTCTACCTGCTGAAGCCTCACAATGCTCAGATCTAGCCCTCCCTAAAGCGTGGTTATTCCGCTCTCCCTTCATTCTGTGTGCTTTGAGCTTTCCAATATTCTTCCAGAAATCCTTCTTTTTTATAATTAGTCAGACTTCATTTCTGCGTTTTTGTTTTTTTTTTTTTTATTCGGCATATTATGGGGTATAGATTTTAAGGTTTGAATAAATGCCCATTTCCCCTCCCCCCAAAAGTCTGAGTCTCCATCATGCCATCCCCAGATGGTGCACATCTCACTATTATGTATGTATATACCCGCCCCCTCCCCCTCCCCACCTGCCAATACCCTATTACTGTAACCTATGTGTCCACTTAGTGCTACTCAGTTAATACCAGTTTGCTGGAGAATATATCTGGTGCTTGTTTTTCATTCTTGGGATACTTCACTTAGTAGTATGGTTTCCAGCTCTAACCAGGAAAATATAGATGTGCTATATCACCGTTGTTTCTTAGAGCTGAATAGTACCACATGGTATACATAACATTTTATTAATCTTTCTTGGATGATGGGCACTTGGGCTGTTTCACAGCCTTGCAATATGATTGTGCTGCTATAAACATTCGAGTGCAGTGTCTTTTTGTAGAGTGTCATGGATCATTTGGGTAGATGCCCAGCAATGGGATTGCTGGATCAAATGGTAGATTTACTTGTATCGCTTTAAGTATCTCCATATTGCTTTCCCACAGAGTTGAACTAGTTTGCAGTCCTACCAGCAGTGTAGGAGTGTTCCTTCTCTCTCCTGCAACACGTCAGCATTTATTGTTTGGAGATTTTTTGATAAAGGCCCTTCTCACTGGGGTTAAGGTGATTCTCATTGTTTTTGATTTGCATTTCCCTGATGATTAGAGATGTTGAGCTTTCTTCATATGTTTGTTGCCATTCTTCTGTCTTCTTTAGAAAAATTTCTGTTCAAGTCCTTTGCCCACTTTTTAATGGGTTATTTGATTTTTCTTCCTAATTTTCGGATTTTAAGTATATTCTAGTTATCAGTCCTATCGATGCATAGGATGCAAAAACTTTCTCCCATTCTGTATTAGGTTGTCTGTTTACTTTCATGACTATTTCTTTGGCTGTGCAGAAGCTTGTAGTTTGATCATGTCCCATTTATTTATTTTGTTGCTGCTGTGATTGCCTTTGGGGACTTCTTCATAAACTCTTTGCCCAGCCGATGTCTAGGAGAGTGTTTCCAACTTTTCCTCTAGAGTTAATAGTTTCATACTCTTAGGTTTAAGTCTGTTTATCCAGCGTGAGTTGTTTTTGTGAGAGGTGAAAGGTGTGGGTCCTGTTTTAGCCTCTACAGGTGGCTATCCAGTTTTCCCAGCACCATTTATGAAGAGGGATTCTTTTCCCCAGCGTATGTTTTTGTCTGCTTTGTCAAATGAGATGGCTATATGAGGATGTTTTTATATCAGGATTTTCACATCTGTTCCACTGGTCAATATTCTGTTTTTGTGCCAATACCATATTGTTTTAATTACTACAGCTTTGTAGTATAGTTTTGATATCTGGCATATTAATGCCTCCCATTTGTTTTTGTTGCCTAGAATTGCTCTTGATATTCGGGTCTTCTTTGGTTCCATACGAAGCGTAAATTATTTTTTCTATATTCTGTGAAGAATGCTGATGGGATTTTAATAGGTATTGCATTGAATCTGTAGATCAGTTTGGGTAAGTATAGACATTTGAATAATATTGAGTCTGCCGATCCATGAGCATGGTATGATTCATCTTGTTTAACATCCTCTGCTATTTCCTTCCAGTGTTTCATGTAGTTCTCCTGTAGAGGTCTTTTACCGTCTTGTAAATATTCTAGGTACTTTAATTTCTTGTTTGCTATGTGAAGGGAACTTGGAGTCTTTGTTTGGTTCTCATTAGATTGTTGTTGGCGTTATATGAATGCCTCTGATTTCTGTTATTGATTTTGTATCCCTGAGACTTTACTAAATTCATTGATCAGTTCCAGGAGTTTCTTGTTGAATCTTGGGTTTTCTTAGATACAATATCATAATCATCAGCAACAGTGAAAGTTTGATCTCTTCTGCCCTATTTGATCCTTTGGATTCCATTTTCCTGTCTGATTGCTGTAGCAGACTTCCATACTATGTTGAACAGAAGTGGAGATAGTGGCAGACCTTGCTGGTTCCAGTTCTAAGTGGGAATGATTTCAATTTTCGCCTTGCAAGTATGATGTTGGCTATGGGTCTTCTCGTCATATATGGCTTGTATCATTATTTGGTATGGTCCTTTTATGCCTATTTCTTAAAGTGTGTCGTATCACGAAAGGGTGGGCTTGAATTTTGTCAAAGTTTTTACTGCATCTATGAAAGAATCATGTCGGTCTTTGTTTTGCTTCATTGTTTATGTGGTGAATTGCATTTATAGATTTACGTATGTTGAACATCCTGCATCCCTGGGATGAAGCGCTACTTGGGTCGTGGTGGATTTTATTTTTTGATAAGTTTCTGATTCGGTTAGCTAAGATTTTGTGAAAATTTTTGCTTATATTCATGAGGGTATTGGTCTGTAGTTTTCTTTTTGTTGCATCCTTTCCTGGGTTTTTGTATCAGAGTAATATTCGCTTTCATAAAAGTTTGTCAGGGAGGTTCCATTCTTCTTCGATG